CGGAGTCTTCATTCCAACCATGCCAATAAAGGGGGGTATAAGGTCTTCAAAGGTACCTATTTTATAAGACACTTGGCTATCCCTTACTCAAAGGTACTTATAAGTAACCCTGCCTCGCATAAGCATCGTACCGGATTCCCATTCCACCGCATTAATAAAAGCATATATATGCAGTTTTCTGGTACACCATGGATGTCGAAATGAGACTTTTGATGATTACCCGCTTCATCGCAAACATCACGACGAACTTCCTCCCATCACGTTAAGAAAAACATATATATGTGTTTATTTTTGCCACGTTGCAAGCGTCAAAGATGGGCTCTTGAAGCTTTGAGTTTTGAGAGTTTATACCTTCGATATGGTAGTGACGACGATGAAGAAAAAATTTGCAAAATGCATCAAAATATTTCATTTTTTTTTCTTTTTTGGTTTATTTTTCCTCTCTTTTTCTTTTTTGTCCTTTTTTTTTTTAAAGAAAGTCATAGTTTGTTTATATATATATATATATATATATATATATATAAAATAATGTTATAATAGTTAAATAATGTTATATTTAAATATTTTAATCAAGTTTCTTAACGAGCATGTTCACGGGCTCTAAATGATCTTGTTCGTGAACATAAACGAGCCGAACGTCAGGGTGTTCAAGTTTGTTTATTTAGCTATCGAGTATTGTCAAAGTTGTTCAAGCTTGTTCATTTACCTTATCAAACGAACATAAATGAGCCCTTATCGAGCCGAGCCACGAGTAGCTCGTCGAACGCTCGGTTCATTTGTAGCCCTATTATCAACTCTCAGAATTATGGAAAATTAGGATGGAGATCTCCTTTTTAATATGCTGACTTGCAAAATCATAGCACTGACTATAAAGGTTAGCTTAATAAAAATAGGAGGGAAACCATCTAAAGGCAGTCCTTTTCATTTAGTTATAGCTTTGCCTCTGAAATAAACCCACGTGATTCCAATACTATGGAGTTGAAAATGAATCAAAATGCTTAGTAAGGTTTGATTTATACCATTCAAACAAGCGCTATTCATGAATGGACAAAAAAAGTAAAAGGCAATGGTAAAGTGTCAATCATGATGAAGGCCACTCCATCATCAAAATGTATGCCTCATGTGCATTTGAATGAGATACCCATAACTTGAGTCAGTTAGTCTGTGTTGTACTGACCAAGCATAATGATCAATGCTATAGGTCCTCTAGAACCATGAATGATCAAACCCAAACTTGAAAATTATAAACCAAAAACAAACAATAAATCATGTGGCAGGCTCATCAAAAGGAATTAAGAAGCATCCGCCCTTTAAAATTGGCATTGGAAGTGGCGAAGAGGGGCTTGCCCCTTTTCAAGAAGCACGTTCACTTAACAGAGGGGATTGTGCTACGTAAATATAGTGATTGTATTTAAGATCAGGAGAAGGTTAGTGCCTTTTTCGTGTAGGTAAGGTCAAAATTTGCTTAAAGCAAGGGGATCAACACCTAAATTGAGAAGAATTGGTCATAACACTTCGCGGCGGGCATTTAAATGTCAGTATCTACCAATTGAGGGGTTATCACTTATAGACATAGTATTGATGAGCGATATGGTGGGTGCCAATTAATAATATTAAGGGGGAGAATTTAGGAAAACAATGACAACCTATTGCATGCTAAATGTACCTAACATGACGAGATAATTCTTGAAAGTATGCTTGTCAGTTTAAATTGCAATTGCATACAATAAGCCAAATACAAGGTTAGACTACCTTTATGGAGCTTGCTCCAATAATAATGCTTTGAACCTCACATAAACAAAATGAACTAAAGATAATTTGATTTCACTAAATTAGGTTGGTGATCTATCTGCAAATACAATAACTTCCTAAAACATTTTTCATGCATTCAAGATCAATCCAACTAAATCATGAAGGTGATCTTACTTCCCATCATTTTATCCAAAATTTTAAGAAAACTTAGATTTACCTTATGTTCCAATATAGTTACCTAGAATTAATCAATTGAGAAAAATAAGATAAAAGTGAAGTTAGACTTCCTCAAGGGTGCTTATTCCAATAATAATACTTTGAACCTCATATCAACAACCAATTCATTTTGGTTAAAATAGGAAGGAGAACCCTTTGCAAATTCATCAACTTTCTAAGTCATAATTCATAAACTAAAAACGGGTGTTCTCACTTCCAAGAAACATAGCCAAGATTTTGATAAAACCAGACATACCACATGGGCCAATATGGTTCTTGAAAGTAGGAATATCACTTTAAAATGAAACTAAACACAATAAGCAAAAATCGATGTTAGACTACCTCGAGGATGCTCACTCGAATCATAATACGTTGAACCTCAGTTCAATTGAGTGAGCTAAAATAAATTCAATTTGGCTATATTATAGGGGATCCCTTCACAATTTTACAAACTTCTAGAGTTGCATACATTGCAGAATAATTTAACTAAATCATGAATGTTGGTTTTACTTTCTGTCATTTCACCTTTCTTTTGAAGAAAATTAGACACACCTCATGTTCAAAGATAGTAAACTTGTCACTTCAAATCAAAGCTTCACACAATAAGCTAAACGAGAAGTTAGACTACCTCGTAGGCACTCACTCCAATCATAATACTTACAGCAAACATGAGAAGTAAAAGCAATTCAATTTGGCTAGAATAAGAGGGAGAACCTTTTGCGAATTTGTGGACTTTGCAAATCATAAATCATACAAATAAAACTAATCCAGCAAAATCGTGAAGGAGTTCTCATTTTCCATCATCATAGGCAATATTTTGAAGAAAAATAAATACACCACATGTGCCAATATATTTCTTAAAAATAGGCATGCTAGTTTAGAAGAAAACTACACGTAATAAGTCCAAAATGATTTTAGAGTAACTCGAGGGTGCTTACTTTATTCAAGATATTTTGAACATAAAATCAAATGTGTGAACTAAAAGCAATACTAGGGTGATCCCTTTGCAAATTTGCAAACTTCCCTAACCATAGCTTTTCTAGTTGAATTGTGAAGGGCGGCCTCTCTTTCCAACATTTTAGCCTAGATTTTAAAGATGATTACATATGCTTGCATGCCAAGATGGTTCATGAATAATGCGTATCACTTTAAATCACAACTACACACAATAAGCTAAAAGAGAAGTTAGACTACCTCGAGGATGCTTACTCCAATCAAAATACTCTAACCATGGATCGATTGTGTGAACTAATGGCTCATTTGGTTGCTTGAAGTTAGAAATCACATATTGAAAAATGATGTAATTTGTTAAATCAATCATTTGGTTGGATGCAATTACATGCCAATATTTATTTCAAACTCAACAAACCTCCTAAAAAACCCTTCAAAAGTAATGATTTAATTTTGACACTCAAAATGATGAAACAACATCATTATTTTCTAAAATATATTTTTATAAATAAGTAACTAAATGGCCCTAAAAGTAAAAGTCAATTTGGTTGGTTAGGAGAGAAATCCCTTTGGCTGACTTGATAGGTCTCAGTGCATATAATGAAGATCAATTCAACCACAGCATGAAGAATGATCACAGTTTCCATCATCTTAACCTCTATTTTAAACAAAACTAGAGCGCTTCTAAGTCTAAAGAGTTTAGCATATATTGAAATGCCTACATAGATTGTTATTATAGAATTATCCTTGAAGATATGCTCACTCTCCCTTTTTATCTTAGTCAAGAATCTAAATGATACTTAAACAAGTCAAAATGCTTATTTGAGGTTCTACCTATAGAGATCAGCCACAAGATACATTAGAATAACTATAAACAATGGTTGTAGAGCTCAAGCATACTATCAGTGAAGTAGACCACCTCACAAAAATTTGTAGAGAAACTGGAACCTAAACCAATTGATTTTGGGCTGAATTGAATTTAACCTGCTTAGTTAGATCAAAGACGTCTTACCCTTCCCAATCCATAGAATTATTCTTATATGAAAGATGCAACTACCATGTCACTGGAGAAGGTGGTAGTCGGACAAATGCAGTTATTGCAGAACATGGAGGATGACAATAGCCTAACAAACTTTTAGGTAACTCAACATCACCTATAATCTTGAAATAATGTGAGGATACTATGACTGTTGTCGGTTGCATTGAATGAACAGGTATGTGGCCTCTCCAATTTTCTTTCCGAAAATGATGAAACCTCCGGCCTCCAGGTGACAATGGTGGCGCCACAGCGACGATTGGTTGACGAATCAAGGGATGATGTTAGCCAAGGCCTATTGCGATAGTGTCAGCACTAGGACACAAACTTTAGGTTACGAGAGACGTGATAATGGGATATTTGGAGATAATCGGCCTCTATCTTCAATAACTACTATTTGCACGTCAAGGTCCGGGCATTTCTGATGAGCATCAGATTTGTGCAAAGTTCAGCCAACCCTAAACTTCAACAAGATCCATGATCAATTTAGGTAGGGTTTTTCGGTTAGAGATGGCCTAATGCATTTCCCAAAAACACGGAGTATCCCCAATTTTCATTTCACAAACAAAAATGACGAACTAAATATTATAACTAGATCAGCTCAAGAACAACGTAATGCAGAAAGTGATGGAAACCATACGTAGTCAAAGACAGAGAAGGCCTTCGAAGAAAGAGAAAGCATGACCTTTACGAGTATGGAAGCCAGTGGGCTTGCAGTTCTTTCCCTTGTAATAATCCCGAGGTGCTCTTTTTGATGACAGTATACTAAGCGAAGATGTCCTCTTCCTCCGCATCGCTCTCCCTAATCCAATTATCAAACCCAGCGGCATCTCTACAAACCTAAAACCAGAATTACAAGATATGGAGATGAAAAGAAATTTCGTAATGGAAAATATCGGAAATGTAGAAGATGAAAACAAGGTTGTCACCGAGAAGGTAAATCGACCAAGATGAAGAGGATCAGCTCCAGCGACGGCGCAGTGAGGAGCAAAGGGCAGAGTGTGGCGGGGGAGGGTTAGACGATACGGCTTAAAGAGCTAACCAAAACTAATTAACAAACATATCTGATATCACTCTATACCATCTTATTTACGTATCAAATATTTAAAATTTAAATATTACATACATACCACCATATATTATTTTAATAACAAATATAGCACATATATTTTATTTCTACTACTCATATTTAAAATGAAAATAAAATATAAATAATATGTATATAATATTAAAATTTTAAATGTTAAATATGTAAATAGAATAATATGTATGTAAATCTCCCAAAGAAAAATGTAGATAAGAGTTTTTTTTTAATTACGACAAAATTATATATTAAATTTAATTAACTATAATCATTATTAATATGTAATCAAAAATTATTTTGATTAAACTATAGCATTTCCTTCAAATGCTGAGCTTTATAAACTGTCAAAGCCTCTGCTAAAGATTTAACATGTCTTCTTCTAATGGTCACAAGAAGAAAGTTAGTAGCTAAAATTAGCAGCTCAAATCTGAATCCATCATATATTTTGATAAACAGTTCACATCCTCTCAAATATTGGAAAAGGCAGCAATGCAGTTCATAAAACTCTCAGAATATTTTGGTCAATAGCAGAACCATTTGATTTAATTTTTTTTTTCTGTTCCACATCACATAGATACAGGAAACATCAACATAATACCGATTACAAAAATTGAACTAATTCTAATGTTCTTTTACAAGAATTCTGCAAATTTATTAGGCCGAATCTGTAGCAACAAAGCTTAAATAACAAAAGTTGCCGTTAGTACTTTACAAGAGAGCCCACAAAAGCTCTTACCTTGAGGCAGCTGGTGCTCTCGGAAGCAATTGTCATGGAAGCTCAACTAAGCCAAGTCTCTAATTTCTATTTGAATAAGATACAGGATACTTTGAACAACAATACAATACATTTTTCTACTGAACTTACTTGAATTTAACAGAATTTCCTGATAATGATTCTGGGAAGGCACATCCACCTTCAATACATGCAACTATGAGCTAAGAAACTTCAGGCATTAATGGCGGAATTCCCAGCTCGGTTTCAAGCTTCTCTTTGTTTGTTTAAGATTCAAAAGTAATATACCGCACAGATGGCTATGATGGAGCTCTGATTGCTGGACTGTTCATTCTAATGCGACGAGTTACCGCCGCTGCTGATGGTTTGCCGACGGCTTCCAACAACCTACTGAACACAACTTTCACAGGGACGCAAGCCACAAGTGGCACAGAACCCTCAGGTTTGATTAGGCCTTCCATTATATCATTATTGCTTCTGGTTAGCTTAACACCACTGCTCTCATCATCAAGCTTGTCACCTGATGCAAAGGAAGATAAGGTTCTTGTTTTCTGACTCGACGAGCTTAACCTCTTCGAAATTTTCTTCTGGAACTTCTTCGATCGAGTATGGAAAATGCTCTTTTTTGGGAGCCTTGTTTGATGATTTAAGTAGCCAGAATATGGCTTCTTATTAGATGGTGGTTTGCTTCCATGATCTGAAGGATCCTCATCATCTACAGCAGTAGTTAATGGGTTGACACGAGGAACTCTTTGCATTGCAGTTCTTCTTCCAGTCCGCCACATGGGCTGTGGCGCCGCAGTTTCGTCAGAAATAACATCAAATTTAGAGAAAAGATGAATGGTTGAGCCAATTTCGAGTATTTCGATCTGAACAGGGTGACCAATTATTGCCTTGCCATTGAGTCTGCTCATCAAAGAAACCAGAGGGACATGCTCGCCTTGATAGCTAGCTTCAACCTTGAGATCCACATCAACCAGAAAGGGCTCCATTTCATTGACAATGTCGCTAGCATAAACAGGGTGGAAATTTTCTGTTGGCTCCTCCCAGAATGTACTGTGAGTTAGATTAGATGGACCATCAGCCTCCCAGATAGAAGGGGAATGGTTGTCAGAATCATTGAGGCTGAGGCTGCTGTGGTTTCTCCCATCGTCTTTGGTAGTCTGCAAAGAGACAGGATTTCTCCAATCGTCATATAAATTCAACTGGTTTTCAGCTAAATCCTTATCGATCAGATCACTCTCATCACAATTATAGAAGGATTCCCTTCTCCAACTTAGGGCTCTTTCGTTGGATAGCTCTGCTCTTTCAAAATTCAAACTGCTTGCTTTGTTTTCATATGTGGTTTCATTCATGAAGCCATTGCAGTTCTCTGCAGAATTGATCTTTCCATCACTTGCATCCATGGGTCTCTTTCCTATATTTCTACAGTTCCGCTTCCCCTTCATATGCCACTTGGAAACTCCAACTTCTGCAGATACATCTGTAATGTGCTCATTTAGCTGAGAAATAAGTCCAGAATGAGGGTCATTTAGCTTCCTAAACTTGTCTGAAACTTGAAATTCAGGAGCTTCACAATCTTTTGATCCTGGTAGCAGTACATGTGCGGTATCTGCAGATCAAACGAGTAAAATCATATCAAAGAACAATAGCAGAAAAAGATAAGGAAATAAAAAAAAAAAATCTTCTAGATCTGATCCATTATAAAATTTTAGAAGACTAAAAGCTTACAAAAATTTTTCAAGGCGTGATCCCTCAGTGAACTGTATTAACAAATATCCTAAATTTGATATGGAAATACTCTTCAGAACAAACTGAATAGTTAGAACTATGAGAAAATTTTTAAAGGACCATAGGTTTAGGATTAATAAAGATTGAGTATGTAACATATAATTTTAACGAGGGAAAAATTATATGTTAATGTTATTGAAATATCAACTGATATACAGGTGAAATAGTTTTGAGTATGTCAAACCTATTAGCAAAAAGAAAGTGGACATAAATAACTTTCAAGAAGAATATCAAAATGGTCCCTCAACTTTTTGTGAGGGACTAAAATGATCCTCAACTTTTTTAAGAAACCAATTTGGTCACTCAACTCTTTAAAATGAGATATTTTTTGTCATAACATCCAATGTTTGAATTAATGGTGTTAAATATAAGAATATTTTGAACATTTTTTAATTAAATATTTATTAAATATAATTTTCTAAAAAAATTTATTAGACGTTACTTTAATAAAAAAATTAATAATAATTTTAGTTTTAATTTCAAAAATTTTGGTCATATTTTATAAAATATCATATTTTATTACTAATTTTTTTAATAAAGAAATGTTTAATAATATATCTTTTTTAAAATATTATTACTTGAAAATAAATAATTTAATTAAAAATGACCAAAACACCCATTAATTTAATACCATTAACCCTAAAATTTGATGTTATGGCCAAAGATGACCATTTTTAAGGAGTTGAGAGGCCAAATTGGCCCTCACAAAGAGTTGAGAGACCATCTTGATCCTTTTCTCTTTAATTTTGTAAGAGTTTGTATGCATATGCATAACATATTATATCATAATAAAATTTTTAATTTTTGGCAAAGTCCTTTGTCGTTGTGACTTTCTAGAATTACTTAGTTTCTATGATCCTTCCTTTATTCAAGCATTATGATACTCATTGGCTTCTTCAAACCTTCTTTTGTTCGAGTTTTTTGGAATTCTCATTATTTAATGTATCTCTATCAGTGGCTTTAGTGACCCTAGCGAGTTTAGCAAAGAGTTTTGGATTCAGTACTCTTATATTATCAATACTTGTGGCTAGGCCTTTTGGTGAGTTCTATTACAACTATCTATAGTGTAGGATCTAACAATTTTCCTTCCCATATTTTGTAACAGCACCTATAGTTATTTTGTAGCTTTTATCAGGTTGGCAGGATTTTTTCCTCTGTTATCAGCATTTCCTCTATTTTCGGACAATAAGCGTATGCTAATCTTTTGACCTATTCCAAGGAATTTTGTGATCATAAATATGATGCTAAGGTTAATACAAAAATAACAATTGAATTTTAAATAAAATTCTCTACTTTAAAAAAAAAAATTCTCTACTTGGATATCCTATTCCTTCAACTTTCAGAAGTCAATTCCTTGATCAAGTAAGAGGAATGAAAATTTCTTGAAGAGATTATCTTGCTTTACAAGCACGAGGCTTGCTTTGTTGAATTCATTTTTCTTCTATTTTTTCTTATTCTAAATTTTATTATTAGTTTGAGATTGTGATTTATTTTAAGAAAACTCAATTAAATATGATTTTAAACAAGCGCATGGATTTCAAATTATTTACGTGAGTATAATTTCAAGTTGTATAAAAGCCCATTGAAATTTCATCTGAATTGATTTCCAATTGGTTGTTAATTTTCATCAAAGATAGCAGGCCATTTGTTAAAGATCAAAATTTTGTAAGCTGTGAATTTTGTATATTGCAAGAGCTTTTGCAACACATAATAGATATGCATTAGAAATCTTAGACTTGAGACATCCTATATAATATAGTACTCATAGTTCTATAATATCTCTACATCACTTACTATACTACAAAATGAATAATATTGACAAACAATAAGGTTAGAAAATAGAAATTAAAAAAACTTAAAAGTTCATAATAACACGCTAATATGCTAATCTCCATCAACATATCTTTAACTTATGAAATTTCAGCGTGCTAGGTAATTATTTTTCCATTGAAAATATCTCAAAATACAAAATTGAAAGTTCTATTAACATAATTCATGAAAGTCATAAATATAATACACTAAGGATGTGCAAGCCTATTCTAACTATTATTACATGCAGCACTCTATATTTCTCAAAACATATCCAACAAGTCAGATAGCCACCAATCTATGAATGTGACAAGAATTAGGACAATCAATGAACTTGACAAAGTAACCTGGACAGACCTCATCAGATGAATGTATGAGCACTAGTACAAAGACAGTGCAATTAAAAAAAAGTATTATTAAGTTGTCTATGGAAGGAAAAGTCAATACATATTACAAAAGCCAACAAACCTGAAAATTTAATCATGGTATTTTTAAGCTTGATTGAAAAAATAAATGAGAGTATTTCTATATTTATAGTTGTTAAAACAGTAATTTTGAGGGAAAAGCTTGTCTTTATTCCATAATATCTTCCCTATATATAGATCTATACAAGATATCTTAATGAGGAAACAATAAATTACAGATTTAATACATAAAATTCCTAATATACTCTTTCCTAAATTAGTTCCTTCATTATGGCGTGATCCATTAGTGCTTCCCATGGATTGATTTATGTGACCGTCGGATCCTTCGTACTAGGAACGGCTGGATTTCAGGATTTCAACAATCCCCCTCAAGCTGGAAAATATGGATCTGTCATTCTCAACTTGTCAATCATTCTGAGAAAGGCATAACTGTCCAATCTTTTGGTAAGGATGTCTGCAAGTTGATCCATTGATGATACATGGTCGACACTTACTAGACCACTGTCTAGTTTTCTTTAATAAAATGCATGTCCACTTCTATGTGCTTGGTTCTGTTATGCTGGACTATATTGTGGGCTATGCTGATTACTGATTTGTTGTCACAATATAGTTTCATGGGCTCATCCCACTTAACCGTTAAGTCTTTTAGGATTATTATAATACATAGTAGCTCAAATATTCCCAAGGCCATAGCTCGATATTATACTTTTGCACTAGATCTTGTCACAACATTCTGTTTCTTGCTTATCCATGTAACTAGGTTACCTCCAAAGAAATGTGCAGTATCCAAAGGTAGATCTTCTGTCAACAGGTGATCCCGCATAGTCAGCATCCGTGTATACTTCTAGGGCTATTCTGTGATCTCTCTTAAAGAGAATTCCTTTTCCTGGGTTTCCTTTAAGGTAGTGCAATATCCTGTCTACCGCTTGCATGTGAACCTGCTTTGAATTATGCATAAAACTGACTGAACATGCTTACAAAAAATGCTATATCTGGTCTAGTGTGGGAAATGTAGATTAATTTCCCTACAAGTCTCTGGTAGGCCCCTTTATCCACATATGGATCCTCTCTAGCTTCCCCCAGTTTAATATTAGGTTCTACTAGTGTCGGTGCTAGTTTATAAGCTAGTTTACTTGTTTCTTTCAGAAGATCTTTGATGTATTTCTGTTGTGAAATAAATATTTCTTTGCTAGAGTGAGCTACTTCAATTCCTAGAAAGTATTTTAGTCTACCAAGTTCTTTGATGTCAAATTCCTTAGTAAGATTTTTTCTTAAACTAACTTTCTCCTCTTTGTTATTTCCAGTTAAGATAATATCATCAACATATACCAATAATATTGTGACTCCCCTTGAGTCTGAGTGTTTAAAGAATAATGTATGATCCCCTTGACTCTGTCGATACCCATTAAGAAGCATGAATTTAGAAAATTTTTCGAACTAGGCCCTTGGTGATTGTTTGAGCCCATATAGAGCCTTTTTTAGTCTGCACACTCTGTTACCTTCAGATTTTTCCTTAAAGCCTGATGATATTTTAATAAATATCTCTTCTTCCATATCCCCATGCAGGAATGCATTTTTCACATCCAATTGCTTCAAATGCTAGTTGTACTTGGCTGCTAGTGAGAGTAGTATTCTAACAGTATTCATCTTGGCTACAAGTGCAAAAGTTTCTTGGTAGTCAATGTCATATATTTGTGTGTACCCTTTTGCCACCAATCTTCCTTATATCTTTCAAGTGTGTCATCAGCTTTGTATTTTATTGAGAACACCCATTTGCATGCAGCAAACCAGTTTTTTGCCTATTGGTAGATTGACGATCTCCCATGCATTAATTTTTCTAGGGTCTGCATTTCATTTCTCATGGCATTTTTCCAATTTTATCAGATAAGGCCTCAGAAATATCTTTAAGAATATTGATATCTTGTAATGTAACCAAAAAATTTGTGTGAGGATGAGAATTTGTTATAGGGTATAAGGGAGGTAGTGAGCTTACCTTATTTTCAGGAGATAGTTCAGATTCTTGGATCTGCTTTGGAGCACAACTTAAGCTTGTACGCCTGGAGTAAACCTTCCCAAATCTGATGACAGCTTTGTCATTGTTTTCCATATCCTGGGTTTCAGGTGGATTGGTTTGAGGTGAAAGATCAAAAGGTGCTAGTTTATTTTTCTCATCTTCCTCAAGTTCAGTCTCCCCCTGAAGATGAGATTTTAAAAAATAGGAATTTTGTTCATCAAAGGTAACATCAATAGAGACAAGGGTTTTTCTTATGGATGGATGATAACACTTACAACTTTTTTAGGTAGCTAAATAGCCAATAAAGATGCATTTGAGTGCTCTTAGATATAGTTTTCCTTTATCCTGGCTGTGAATATGAACGTAGGCAGTACATCTAAAGATTATGAGTATAAGATTATGATGGGTTCAGAACTCAGGATAAAAAGAGGACAAAATCTCCATTGGAGTTTTGAGTCATAAGGTTGTTGAATGTTGTCGGTTTATAAGATAAGTTGCAGTTAGAAGGGCTTCCCCCCAATAGGATTTGAGTGTATTGTAGTGAAATAGGAAAGCTTGGGTGGAGGCTAGAAG